CACCAGAACCGGGCGAACTGCCATGCTTTTGTTATATGTTCCCAGGTTAGCAAAACAAATAGATAAGTGAGGCAGCTGTTATATAAACAATCTTCCCTTGGCAATCCTGCCGGGTTTCGGCACCAAAATCTGTCAGTTTTGAAGTTATTCCACCATTTTTGCCTATGTGCATATGCGTTCACATGCATATATAATGCTCTTCCACCTTTTTTAAAGAATGGCCTTCTTTTCCTAACTAAAAATCAGTATGTATGCCTGCATTTGATAGCTTGCAACTTAAGAGCTTGCAAACTGATTATTTTTACCATTACTTCACTAACCTCCTAAAAAAGCTAGATTTTACTACCTTTCTCTTAGGCCATCTTTCATAGGAGCTTTTCGACTCACTGCCCATTGCAATCACATTTGACAGAAGGACAGAAAGTGTTGATGAAATTAGTATCTATGTAGAGGAGAAGATTAATTTCTTCAGTGAAGGCAAATTTTCAGGGTACCGGTTGCTCCATCAGCTGGCATATTTCACCTGAACACCAAGTTCCCCAGCTATCTGCTGGTGGGATTCAGCAAAGAGTTCAGATGGGAGGACTGGGGCATGAGTGGGTGGAGGGCAGGGGAAGAAGCTGGAGTCTTTTTGGGGACTCAAATCTTTGCTGTTGCCACCCATAGTAAGCTCTGATACGTGTCTAGGCATCAGCTTTAACACTAGGGCTCTGTCTGCATCAGCACAATGCTATTTTGTTCTCTGTCATATGGATCCTGAGCACTTTTTCTCTTAGTGATGTGGAGTCTAGCTCAAGTTTCACTTTTTATCTTCTCCTAGGACAACATGTTTTGGTGGCAACATACAATCCTCCTGCAGAGCATGGAGGAAACCTCATGGTCAGCTGCAGCGACTTCTGCTGTGACATAGTTAATGCTGACAATAGGCACCATTATTAGACGTTGAGCTGACCCTACAGGATGAACCTGCAAGAGGAAAGTGCAAGTGATTTAATCACAGTTACAATGTCACTATCATCCCCCATCTTCTTTCTGCTGTTTCTTCACTCTGCAACAGTTTCATTATAACCCTCGAAATTCCATCATAGGTGAGTTCATAACTTGTTGTGTCTGAATTAGTGGTAGCTACGTAACTTGTGCAACAACTTATCTTATTCTTAGTAGTGGCTAAAACTTCACCACTTTTCTTCCTGGCCATATCTTTACATCAGGTACCAGGAAAACACCTTCCTGCAGCATCTCACCCAACACACACATGTCTCTGGCTGTTCCCTTACGTGCTGCATTCTGCTGAGCACGAGTATTCACAGTCATGAGTCAAGCCTCAACCCTGCTTGAGAGTCTCCTAAAAAACAACAGTAATTCTAGGTAATTGTCTTCTCAAGCAAATTTTGGGGAGTTACAGCTTGCAGCTTGTTTTATAGGAATATAGGAGGCATTGTTCTTATATTCCTGTGAATCAGGTTCTCCCATCCCCACAGGAGCCCAAGAATCCCACTATTTTAATTGCAGCCTGCTCTGGATCCAGAGAAGCATGGAAACCTCCTGCAGTGCCTTTTGTTCTGGCCTGCTCTGAGTATGAAGGCAAATGAGACTATATAGTTAATCTTTACCAGGGAAGGCTAGACAGAGGACCTTGAGCTATCTAGCTGCCAGCTAGTGCTGCCTTGGCAATAGTTTAATGGGCAGCAGCCTGTACTTGGATGATTTCAAGAGGAGATGTAATCAACCATTCACTATCTTTCTTCTTTCCATTAAGTTCAAAGTACTATATAATCACTTCAATTTTCTTTCAGTGGTGATAAGGCTCAAGTATAAACCACAAAGCCTGAACTCTCAGTCAACTTCCATGATTTATCCTGGATTTATCTTCAGCCATCATCAGATTCTGTCTTTCTGCCTGACCCCATATGGAAACTAGCCTCCAAGGAGGGTCAAGTATTCACTTTCATACTCCTCTGTGCTGAAATGCTTTTCCTGGCAAGATTAGATAAAGCAATTCCTTTTCATTTCAGGCCATCCCAAGTAGATGCTTTAAAAAAAAAAAAAAAAAATCAACCTTAAAGCAATTCTTTTTCTCATTTGCTATAGGTTTATTGAGTGAGACAATGGCCAGGCTATTTTTGTAGTCACTGGGCCAGGAACAAAGCCCAGTAATTTACTCTGCTTGTAGGAAAAAAACCACATTTTTATCTCAAAAAGGCATTTAGAGGGTACTGTCAAAGACTTGTTTTCCAGTCACTACCTGTTCAGAATCTGCAATATGACTCAGACACAGACTCAGACACAGTAAAAGCATTAAGGGGTACAGTTTAATTAAGTACAAGTTAAATAAAATTTGTGTTATTCATGCATTTTATATTGAAACCCCATTGATGGAACAGAGTGGAAATGTCGGCAATGGAGACAGGATTTTCTCTTCCCTGAGTCCATGTGGCCCTCCTCTTGCTCACCAGAAGCTTATTTTCCTTGCAGCGGCACAGTGGAGAGGAGAGTGTCACTAGTTTTCTAACAGCATAGAGTGGGAACACCAGCTGGAACAGTCTCCTGATATGTGGGAAGTGAAAGTTCATACCTCTGTGAAGAAAATATTAAAGACCTCCCTTCCTGTGTGAATGTCCTTGCCACTTGGCTCTCAGTGAGTTTGTCTTTTAAAGGTGGGATCACACTTTCCAATGGTTTCTACAATGTGCCTGAAAGCTTGAGGAACCACCACCTTACAAGGACTCATGCACATGGTGATTCTCTGTCTGCCCAGCTGCTCCTCAGCCCCACCGGTCTGTGGCTCCTGGACCCCACAACTGCTACCCTAGACTTGTGCAGAGCAGCTGCTCCTGCTCCCTAGACATAAAAGAGTGTTACGACCACGCTGGCGGGTGTCGGGCTCATCCTTCTGTCTGGACATCAGACAAACATCCACCTGCTGAGGTACATAGCCCATGCCCTCAGCCTGGCAGTGATACTGCACCACTTTGAATGATGCTGCTGTCCTGCCATTCTTTGCTGCAGCTCACAAGAGGGATTTCTACATCTCTGCATCTTTGATGCAGTGGCTGTGATGCCAAAATGTGGTCAAGTTGACATTCTTCCTTGGAAAGAATGTCTCCACACTCTTCCTTTCCACACTGTCTGAACTGTAGCAAGTATGAAGACAGGGTCTGATGCATGCAGTGCGCTGTTGATTTGGCCACGCCATGCCTCCTTGCTTGGGAGAAATTTCTGGACCCAAAGGCCATGCCTCCACTTTCAGTGTGGAGGCTACTGCAAGGAAACTGTCATGAGCAGCAAGGGGTATGTCTTCACTGGGGAGTGGAACAGCAGAGTGAAACCTCCTACTCTGAAACTCATTGTCAAATGCCAGGACACAGTCATAGATCTGGAGTGAAATCAGTCATGGGGTAAGTATACCTAGCATCCTTGCACATATGTGTGCAAGTATCTGCATACACACACACCCCCCTCCTTCTGTACACATGCAAGTATGATTCAGTGCACAGCTGGTGAACCCCACTAGCCAAATTACACCCCAAAAATGAAACACAGGTGTGTATCCCCATCAGAGTGTCTTGTTCATATAGAGAACAAGGGAGTTTTTGCTGTGTAACAACATGACAGGACATACAGCAAGGACATAGAACACTTGTGACATGCTTCAAAGCAGTGAAATTTAATATTACAGGTAGGGCTGGTAGCTCCACCCATTCTTAAGATTACTTTCCATTGTAAGACCCTCTTTTCAACTTCTTATACTCCGAATGCTTGGGTTGACATTTATGTGTGCCAGATGTTTGTGTCAGGTTTCTGCAGTAATGTTTTCTGCAGTTGTATAAACTGCATAAAGCTATAGCTCGGGCACTTAAAATTACAAAAATAGGGAAGATACATTGCTTTTCATTTGTTAAAAAAGTCTTCCTGAGCCCTTTGCTCTGAGCAACTGAGGAGTTCTGTCATCTTTAGGCAAGATTGACAAGCTGAATAAGACTGCTTTCTCCCTGAACATCTACCTTCTTGTGAATTTGTTCACAAATTAGTCTAGCTTGTAAGTTGAAAAAAATCACCCCCACCAAGTGGAGACCTTAATGGTATCAAATGAAATCCTGAAGACTATTTAATTACCAACTGCCCTGCACAAATCATGGTGTGTTCACACTTGCAGAGCTCTTAGGTCCCCACTCCACCCACCTTCAGTGGCTGTGACCAAGTCCAGTGGGGGAACAAAGCTCTCCCTTTTACTTCTTTTCCCCATGGCCAGGGCGTTAGAGCCTTCAACATTAGATACAAGCTAAAGCTGATCTCCACCCAGCTGCGTGTAGCTTAGCACCTGCTTCATCCTGCCTTGGATGGAAGAGACCTCATGAGACTGAGGAACCTCTTTTGGTTGAAGCAGAAACAAGGGACAAGTAGCCACAGGAGTGAAAGGGATCCCAGCTCTTGGAGACACCACATACACACTTGCCCATCTGGAATCATACTAGCCTGCATCTTAAAAGCGCCTTTCTTTGCCCATTCTTTGGGTGGAAGGCTACTCCATATTTTTCTGATATTTAAGTATCTTCAAATTATAGCATAAATGTCAATGAGAGCAAATAGTTACCTAATGTCTTTTAACTATGGTTTTCTTGCTTAGGTATTTTTCCTTGGATACATTTGTAGGCTGCAGTAATATTGGTAGACTGATCAAAGACAGGGCCAGCATGAGGATTGCAAAAGGAGAGACTGGAGTTTCAGTATGAGGAAAAAGCCCTGACTCCAAAGTAGAGATGGCATAAGTCGGTCACGGTCTAAGTCCTAAGCTGGAAGTGCTCGCTATTCATCCTCTATTAGATTTAAAAAAAAAAAAAAAAAAAAAAAAAAAAAAAAAAAAAAAAAAAAAAAAAAAAAAAAAAAAAAAAAAAAAAAGGTGAAAAATCTAGTAGCTCATATACTCAAAAATAAGTGTCTAAACTTAGGGCATACTTCTGATCCTACTAATTCTGTACTTTAACTTGCCAGCTTTAAGATGGAGGTAACTCTCACCATCATCCTACAGAGCAAGTGGGAGAATATATTCATTATTGTTTGCAAAACAGTCAGACTTCATAACAGTACGTACCACAGAAAAGCCTGTAAAGAAGTTGATATCTTCATCCTCACTTCAGGATTTATAGGTGTGAATAATAAATAAGGTGTAAAAACTCATATTGAATAGCAAGGATAGACTAAAACACTGAATAATTGTTCACTAAAAGGACTCAGCTGCCCTGTGCACTTAATGAGGCATAGGTATATGGGAAAGTTAATATGTGATATTCTTAAAACTGTATATGCTGCATATGGGTATAAGAGCAACAGAGCTAAGAGTGCACAGGCAATCTTCATTCTGGCATTGCCTACATTTTAGTTAATTGATAGAGCAACCTTAATAATGCGCTTTATCATGGTTTCCCCTCTGTGTGTGTGTGTGTGTGTTGTAACACAAACATAGAGAAAAAAAGATACCCATGAATTCATCATATTATTTGTACACCTTCACCACTTTTATTCTTCTGGTAAGCTTTTCACAGGGTTTCTCTATAAGGCAATTGACTTTTCTAATACAATATCCTGGATTTAGGTGCTTGTCCCACAGAAAGAAACAAGTGCCAGACTAGGTCTCAGCCTGCCCAGCAAATTAGATAGGAAGAGCTTCAAAGCTGTAGGGTTTTTTAAAACCCTCTCACACCAATGGGATGTCTGACCAGTGTATTTTTCAAATGTTTTTAAAAAAATGAACTATTAAAATTAATATTTTATCAGTACCTACTGAGCCAGCAACTTTCCCAACACCAGTTCTTGTCTCTGTTCACAGTGGATTTGCTGGCAGTGACAATGGCATGTGCATACCTCAGCTTGAAATGACCAATTATTTTTTCTCCTGTCTGATTATGGAACAGACATTGGAAATGGGATTTCTTATCTATGCTAGTCCTTTTTAACTGCTCACTCTGGGTGAAAAACCTGTGAAGGAGTGAGTGACAAAAGTAACTGCAGCCAGTTGTGGTGGTACAGATGGGCCTCAGTGCTGGATCATGGCATCCCCTCCAGCCAGCACTAGCACAGGCAGAAGCATGGATAAGGACTGCAGGAAGGCACGATCCGATGGCTGATTCACCATATCTCAGGAACGTCCTGTAGGTGTGTGGTGTCTCTTGAGTATTACTGATCTTGAGAGCTACTAAATCTAAAGTAAAAATTAAAATGGACAATGCAGTTTGGTTTTCCATTAACACAAACAACTTGCATTAAGCATCAAGAGGGGAAAAATATAACACTCCATTCATATATATGTACATATACATACAAACATATTTATTATGTCTCTGTGTTTCATGTATAGCACAGTCATAGCATGTATCCTGATGAGGAGGTAGCACAATGTCCATAATCACACAACAGGCCAAGGGCATGCCTAGGTAGAACAGGTAGGTTCCCTATTTCCAGTTCAGCCTTGTTTTCAGGACTATGCTTTTTAGTATCACGGGAAAACAGCTTGTTAACAGTACTGGTAATCTGCAACTCAAGCAGCATGCTGTAATTAAATGATGACTGTTTCTTCTGCTGCAAAGAAGGGCTAAGAACTTCAGCCATGCACAAAGAGGAGAATACTCACTCTCTCAGTGCACAGCCTGGACCTCTGGAGCAATGATACGGACATAGTTGCCAGTACACAGCCCTAGCTCAGGTTTCCAAGGCAATATCTGGAGTTTAACGTGCTGACGTCTCAAAATACAGGTCCCAAACAACTTAGTGTAGTGGTATAGATTCACCATTATGTTTAAGATAATTTTTAATATATCTCCTTTATTGTTGTTCTTTCCATTTTTATTTCTCCTTCTGTGTTGGAATAAGTATTTCATGTGGTTTCTTTGTTTTCATATTGAATTTTAGAATTCTGTCTCTTTTTGTTGTTGTTGTTATTGTTGAACTGCCTGCTCTGTTGCAAATTATTACAATATTCTTTTTTTCTTCTTTTCTTTTATAGGGCAGCTTGTATGGTTTCCTCTATGTCTCCCTGGAGATCATGGTTTCAATAAATTAGTTTCATGTGGTTCTTATATTGTTTCTTCTTTTTTATTTTATATTCAGGAGATAAAGAAAACTAGACCTGGAAATCATAGAACACATCCAAAGTGATAAGTGGGAAAGAACCTCATTCTCTCTGGAGCAACAGCATCATTTCCCAGCAACTGCTGGGCAGGTCCTTCAGGACCAAAACAGGAGATGAGGCATTTATGTCTAGCATCACTCTCTCCTTTTTTTATGAGTTGCTGGTTGTGAGCACTTAGTTTATTTCTGAGCTACTTCTTTCAGGCTTTTCAATAATTCATGTTTCAACAATTAAAATTGCCATCTGCTGTACCTCCATAAATTCACTAATGACACCTCAGCTTTTGAAAGCTGAGACTACAAAATCCTCCCAGTGATATCATTTAATGCCAAACTCCTAACTTCTTGACAGCTTTCTGAGACTTACATGGACAATTTTTATTGTTTAGTTTGGCTGACTGAGTCCTGGATGAGGAAAGCAAGCTCCTTTTTAGAACTGTTCAAAACCTCATCTGAGGACTGCTGATCGCATCAAGATGCATGGCAAAGGTCTGAACTTTTGTGGGTCTTTCCTCAGTCCTTTTTTTATTACTCCATCTTAAGAAAAGTAGGCCATTGTCTATACAAAATAACTTCATGTTATCTCCCTTTGCCTCATGTTCTGATGCAGACGAGGCCATTCTTGGCAATTTGTATGACAAAGCCTCCCTTCCACAATAAAATGCATCATCTTTGCAACAGAGAAGTTGTGAGGGAAATAAATCTTTGCACCAACTGATTCAATCAGGTGTATGAGAGAGATATATAAAGATATAGCAGTCTTCACATGAAGACTACATGCAGCATATTGCATGCAGTGTCTAATAAAACATGAAACATTTAATGACAGTGAGAGATTATCCTCATTTCTTCAGGACCCCTAAATCTGTGGTAATTTGATGAGGGAAGATTTGAAAAATGATGCATGAGAACAGAAATGATGAAATATACCACACGGAAAAAATCTCCCACCTAAACAAGGGCACTGTAGTACTTTTGAAAGAAACCTCAAAGTTTTCATCCAAAATTAAAGGCATCTCCTCTAAAAAGAGTAATGTGCTTCTGGATCAAGATACAACAAATGCCACTGGTTACACTTAGAGGCTTCTTAACGGATCTATTACTTTTCAGGGATAAAACAGACTCATTGGTAAAATCGGTGGAATGTGAACTCTCATGTGTTTAATCAAAATTATTATTCGCTTGAAAGTCTCTTGTAAGGCAGCCTCACTGCATTGTCTCTGCTCAGCCCTGCTTATGCCTTTAGACCATCAGAATTACAATAGAAGTGTGATTTACTGTTCTATCACCCAACACCATATTTTAGAAGGGGCTTAAGACAGAAAGGACTAAACTAACTAACCTGTCTGGCTATTTTGCAGAAGAGTTGCCTCCCCATCAGGGCTCTGAGAACAGTATGGAAGGCTGTGATCTGACAAGGACACGAAGACCCCCTTATGGTCCTTTGCAGAGCATCCACGCTGATGTGGTAGCTCTGAAGAGATGGCTCCAGGAGGAAGACCAGGAAATGGAGTCATGCAGAATGTTAACACTGCATTCACCTTTCTCCTTTGATGAGCTTTGCATTTTGGTCTCCCCTGCCTTGCAAGATACCACTAACTGATGACAACTGTTACAGTTCAGGGGCAGTACAGTCTCTTTCTTCACAAGTGACCACTTGAATTGTGCACGTTAATCTAGTGCTGAGTATGCAATGGTGTGGCAGAGCATGAACACAAGAAGATACAATTCCTTTCAGATGCCAGTTTGCTTATTTAAATGGGGTAAAGCTGGGCATGCTCCTGAAGTAGCCACTTATAAATGAGATTGGTAGTAATTAAGCTTTAGCAAGTAATGATGCAGCTGTGATGGCATCTATCCAAAAGTCCTTAAAGCTCGTCACCTAGGTACTAGGAGATTCAGTCCCTATTTCCCAGGGTGTCTGATGGCATCTGGGGTCTAGCCACATCTAAGTACCTTCCTTTTAACCCTGAGGCCTCTGATATACGACCACAGTTCAGCCTCTGCCCAACAGCCTATTTTCTACTCTCTGTTCCTCAGATGCAGTCCTTGAGTGTAAGCACAACCTCTCCTAAAAAGCTGAATCTTCTGTCCTACAAAATATCTTTTTGAAGCCTTGGACAGAGACAAGCAAGAAGACATGCAGATATAAATAGGCTTTGTAGAGACCATGTAAATACACTGTTGTGTTTCCTTAAAAAATAAACTGCTGGAGATTCAATGTTATTACAAAAATCAGCATATCCCCTAAGCGAAAAATCCCCCAAACCAGAGAGGGACCTCTCTTCCAAGGTCCCTGGGACTCCACAAGAGGCTGTCTTCTCCAGGTTAGAAGGATAGCCAAAGCCAAGTTTGTATGGTCAAGAAGCCCATACCTGCCTACATCCTTAGTTTCCCCTGTGTCTCTCACAGTGATAGTTTTAGTTTGCCTCTCTTTGTCTTGAGGTTGGTAATTTTTCATTTTCTCCATTCCTTCAGACAATAGGAAGGCCACTTTATCTTTGATAAAACACCATTCCCAAGCCCTTCATCTTCTGTAGGTGATGACAGTTCACACTACCACCTCTGATGACAGTTCACGCTACCACCTCTGCCTTGACAAAGACCTGGTTGAGCTTGCGGGTCTGTGCAGGTTGTCAGGCACCACCAAGTACAGCAATTCTAGGGCAAAAATCTCATCGTGCCTGTGTGGATCCACCAGCCTTACAAAGGGGTAGTCCTGGCATATTAACTGCTTCTTTACCCAAAAGGCCATAGACTCCAGACATAGGTGGGATTTCTTGGCTTGCCTTTTTCATTTGCCTCCTGAGTGGGATTTACACAGTCTGTCTGATATAACTTAATGGTAAATAAATAAAGAAAAAGGTAGCACAGCTCTACACCACAGGCATTTCTACAGCTAGCTGACCAAAAGATACTATTACAGGAACCTGAACTTGTAGTCTATTATCAGTGAAAAATACTGAAGACGCTGAAATGTTTTTCATGAGATTTTTTTTTAAACAAGACCAGGAACATTTAAAAAGCATGATTTGTCAGATCCTATCAGGTGAATTTTTGATTCATGAATATATATCTCATTTTTATTGCAGATTAAAAAGAAGCAAAGACAAAGCATTTAACTTTTCACCTTGCACTAAGATGAGATATTTTTGCCCGTATGCCTATGGGCATAATATAACACAGGTGAGGCTTTTCAGGAATAAGTTGTCATGAAAAATATCTTGCATTTTACCTGAATATTGATCAACAAACTTTCTCTTTGTGAGTTTGGCGCGTAGATTAGATACACACACTCGGACTGCACTCTCTATATTACTCCATGGTTATTTGGGGTTTTGTGTTAATTGCAACACTTGTAAACTGCAATTCTGAAACAAGAGCCATGTAGTGGGCAGAGCTAGCACAGACAAGCTTTATGACAAAGACCCAGCAAGCCAAATATGAAAACAAGAGACAAGAGACATTGAAATAAATGCTGGGTAAGAGAAACAAGAATATAGTGTGCATCAACATCACGTACAGTTTTAAAGAGGTCTAATCAAAACTTTAGCTTGGACTGAAGAACATGGTTCTGCAGCACAGACAGAGCTCAGGAAACATTGCAGAGCTAGCAGGGTTAAAGTTATGTTCCTGGATAGAACTGCTCAGAGATAAGGGGTACAGAGAAATGAGAAGAAGCCAATGGCAGAGCTGTATAGGGTGCCGCAGAGAGATGATGAAGCAGCTGGATGTTCTTCACTGGGCAATTAGGGCATGACAAATTGCAAGGGGATCAGAGGAGGATGTTCAAGTTCCATCATTAGTGTTAAGACATTTTCTCAAAATTAAAAAGTTTAGTTTAATGGTCTGTGAGGTAGTTTATTCTGAGCATGACCTCCTCCCACAGCTCCGTGCCAGCAGACGGTATCATCAGATTCCCTCACATCCATTTCAGGGCAATTACAAAACAGAGAATAACCTGTAGAGAGAGGCTAGGGTTAAGCATTACTATTTAAACCAATTAGAATGGCAGAATGTACTTCCTCTCTCAGGTGGATTTTGCTATGGCTTAATCCCAAAACAGAACACCTAGGTTACACGCCTATTGGCCACCATGAAATTCTCCTTTTCAGTCCTATAATGCACTCCTTTCATCCAAACATTCTAAGCTTTGTAAAAGCTGATCAACAGATTTCAGAGTGTTGTGATTTTATAATTTGAGAAGCTGAGTGCTTGGTATTTGTTAGTCATGGGCTTTGCTGGGCTAAATTTACCTTACCACAAGGAATGCACATAGCCAGACAATTTCCTCCCATCTTTCCATCACACGTCTAGGCAGGCACCCAGTTTTGGAAGATGTTGAATTAGTCATGTGACACTGCCTCTGGCTATTAGGAAATAATTCTCACCTCTGTTTTCTTGGCATCAGACAAGAAATGCACTTACCCATCAGAAACCTGGCTCTTAGGAACCTAAAGGTTGTGCAGTGTTTAAATCTAACCACTGCTGTTGAGGCAGCTTTTTAATGCTTCTCTCCCTTCAACTTCATGTTCCAGGTGTGTTCTTCCTCTAGTGGAGGAAGCCTCACTCCCATCCCAACACCATCACCTGCTCCTATTGAAGTCAGAAGTGAACATGCCATTATCTTTGGCTAGAGTCTCAAAGGGTATAAATCTTCATTACATGGGAGATATGCCAATGTACACCGGTTGCAGATCTGCCCTTGCAGGTTCATACACCATCTGCTCTGCAGTTTGCTGATTTTCCAGATTAAGAATCGGAAGACATGAAGACACTCTCAGAGGAGATGAGCACTGTATGTCATGGTTATACTTACCTTGCAGTGCTAGACAAGCTGCAAGTTGCTAGAGAGAAGCTGATGTCATCTGGGAGTAAAAATCTGTAAGAACTTGCCAGCTCTCTACTATATCAGAAGTAAGGGCTCACATTTCTCTTTCAAGTCCAT